CGCTACCTTTTCTTTTTTTTTTCCTTTGGTTTGTTTTTTTCCGTCGATCTTGTTTTCCGTGATGAGCACCAATGCTACCGACGTGCCAGGAAGGCAGCTCCCACACCTGGACCCTACCTATCGACCCATCAACTCATGAACCGGGGACCAACGGCTTTACTTCCCATCCGAAGGAAGGCGTGATCAGAGATGTTATGCCTCAGAACATCCCGGCGGCGCCGACTGGGATTGAACCCAGGCCTTCTGGGGTGAGAGGTAATCACGCTTACCACTACACCACCGGTGCCGTTAGAAGCTACCTTTGAATACAAATATTTTAAACGCTTCGGCATCTCTTAAAGGTTTGAAACCGACAACTCAGCTAAAAATCTGAAGTCGTCAAAATCGCAAAAAATACTAATAATTCAATACCCAACAAACAATTTGAGCTTGTTAAGAGCTGAATGTGCAATGTTTTAGCTGAAGAAGCACATTTTGGCATGAACAGCTCTTATTCAGCTTTCCTTGTTTGTTGGGTATGGCCTAAACTTTCAAAACTGGCTATAAAATACCAAAATGGCCTTGACATCGCAAACAAATTAGTACGTAGCTTCCGCGGTAGATTTTACACTCATTATGGGTTCGCATGGATTCTTCTGATTCCCTCGGAAGTATTTCCTGGCCTTCCAAAAAACAAAATTATGCCTTTCCTTAAAAAATTCTTCCGACTTATTCTGGAACATTATAAACATGAAATTGTTTACTCCTTTAAAAAATTCTTAAAGACTGTTTCCCGAAAAGTTGGAATAGATTCCCAGGAATTGGAAATCGTGCATTTTGGTTAATTTCTCGGAATGTTCCGGGTAGGAAATACTGATCTTGATAATAACTTTAATAACGAAATTATTCACTGTATCACGGCTCCGTATAGTTCTTTTGGACATTTGAGCCTTAACATAGATTAATTGAAATAAAAAGTATAAACATTTTCCAAAGCTACTGGGAGTTTGAACGTCGTTCGGTATCTTGGAATCAGTAGTCATGTAAGAAGTTTTCAGAGTTGCTGAAATTCTTGAATTTTTAGAAGTTTATAGAATACGAGGAGATTAGAAGTCACTTAAGTTTCGAAAGCTCCCGCAGTTGTTTTTTCTTAATTTCCGTACTGAGTACCAATTGCTAACGACGCCAGGGAGGCACCTCCCACACCTGGACCCCTCCTATCGACCTATCACCTCACAAACTTCCCTACTACCTCCCAGAAGGAAGACGTGATTAGAGATTTCACGTCTCACAAAATCTCACATGGAGCCGACTGGAATTGAACCCAGGCCCTTTGAGGTGAGAGGTGATCATGCGTACCACCACACCACTGGTGCCACTGCTCCCGCAGTGCCAGGAGATTCAAGAGTATCAGAAGTTTTCAATCCATCTGAAGCCCTAGTAACGTTCAATGTTTCAAAGATCCTGAAATAAGATCCAAAAACTTCATAGAGTTTCAAGAGGATGCTCCGAGACTCTACAAATTAAAAAAAGGTTCAAGAAAAATACATCATAGCTCTTTTAGTCGTGGTTCAAACAGATCTCTTAGTCGACTTCGGCATTTTTCGCAATTCCAATAGTTTTCCGGGACTTATAATATTCCCGTAGTATTGGATTTCCTAAAGTTACTGATGGTTTTGAAGAGCATGAAATTTTTGAGTTCTTTGTTGTTGTTGTTTTTGCTGAACTAACAAACAAACGATTCGAAAATCTTCGGACTACTGATAGCGAGAAATAGAAAAAATGTTTCTTAATCAAAGTTACTTGAAATCATCTCAACTACAATTTTACTGAAGAACATGTATTATTACTTTCAAACATGAAAGGTTAGTTTTTCTAAAACAATAATTTCAGGACCAGCCTTATTTTTTAAACGATCAAACGAATTTATGCTGAAGTTGATACTACACCTTTAAAACTTAAGATAAATTCACTAGGACTTTTGTATTGCTGAATTGCCATTCTGGACCACTGCAAAGTGGTCCAGAATGCAGATTTATCTGGAAGGAAATGTTTTGAGCCTGAAATTGAAACTATAGACTAAAAATCTCTTCTCAAAAGTTGTTCTTTATAGCTAGGCCCTCATTTTTATGACAATGAATTCTAGGGTGGTTCTTATTGTCATTGAAGTCAAAAATCTAGCTTTCTTGTTTGAAAAATTAAGTTATACATTCTTCGGCAAAGTTTTTTTTTCTCTATTTAGGAGATTTGTAGCCGCAGGCTGGTTCATCTCCGGAGGTTCAGCAAAGTTATAGCTGACTTTGTTTTCGGAGTTGACTTAGGCTGTTCCTGAAAAAATAGTTTTTTAGCACTAACTTTTTTATTTCAAATTTCTCATGAAAGTCATCTTGTAGAGACTTTTAAAGCTCTTTAAGACAAATGTTCATAGCAAAAGCTGTTGCCTGTATATCTTCTAATAAAAAAGATATTGCCAATTATAGTATTAAATATGAATAAATTCAAATTGATTTTATACGAGTTTAAAAATATCATACCTCTACTTTTCATATAATTGAGAATAAAATACGCCTTAAATTTTTTTTTTGCCCCAACCAGAGATATTAACATTAGACAAGGGCATATTTTTGGCAGAAAAACTTCAATAACTCTTGATTGGCGAAAGATATCGAAAAGCTCTGTGCAGCGCCTTTTAAAGATCTAAAAGTTATTCGAAGACACCTTTGCTGAGAAATTTGAAATGAGAAAACTAGAGCAAAACAACTGTTTTTGTTTTTAGAAGCACCCTTACTGTATTGAAGAAAATAGCTCTAAATCGATCAATTCATGAGATAATACACTTTTCAATTTCAGGCTCAAAACTCACCCTTCCAGCTAAATATGCATTATGGACCACTGTGAACTGCCCAAATAACATTGCAAGCTTTATAGAGGTTTTATAGCATTCTACAAGTCTTAATCATGGTCTACAGCACCCTCATAAACCCAAAATTGTTATTTGGGTGTGCAATGAACAGTGAGCCAGAAAAGAAATCTAGCAGGAAAAATTAATAACGCTCTGAGATTTCATCCAATTGAGTAGATGTCATCTGAGAAGTTTCTTGGATTAGTTAGAACTACAATTTGGTGGATAAAAATAGTTTAAGTTTTGGCCACAAAGATGGCGCAGCGATACAAACTTTATTATATCGCAAGATAGAGGTTTCCTGTCTACCTTACACATAAAAGCTTTACATCTTCAAACATCTGAGATATATGTAGTTTAATAAAATTTACCTGAAATTCACGTTTTTAGTATTATGTTTAGAATAATTTTTGAAAAGGATACTAGGAGAAATGTTGGCCTCGGCAATACCTTAACCTATTATCGTCAGGGGGGTAAACAACATCCTTTAGAGCTCAATTTTGGCATGTGAATACTTTGTGTTCCACAGCATCTATTAGCTAAATTTGAGTGCTCTAGGACTTTGTTTACCCCCTGACGACAATAGGTTACGGTATTTCCGTAGCCAACATTTCCCCTATTATAATTTTTCCTCAATCGGTACTGATTGATTCAAACTTTTTTGGATCAATGCTGTTATTTTTGGAGGTCTGAATAATATATATAACATGAAATTTGAAGACAAAATCATAATTTTCTGAATGAATTTGCTAAATACTGCGTAAGTGAGCGTCAATCAACTTATTCAAAATGCACATCAAATAAACTATAATACCTTAAAATGTCTCAGAGATACATTTGAGATACTTGAATTTAAATCATTCAATATATTCAGTTGTATAAGGTAATTTGATTTACAATTAATTAAAATCTTCATTTCCTTCGCTCCTACGCACAACGGTTCAAAACTCCAAGGAAACGTGATAAACATATAAATATGCTGACAGACGAGTTAGTTTTTATTGGATCTACCAAACACATGGGCCGATTTTGAGCCAACCAACACACCCAAGTAACAGTTGTTTTTGTTTTATGAGGGTGCTGTAGACCCTGATTTAAACGTTTCGAATGCTTTAAAACCTTGATAAAAGTAGCAATGTTACTCGGGGACTCACACATACTAACTGATTACAGGAAAATCTCTTCATAATCGGTAAAATTAAGTCTTGCAATTTGAAATGTACATCTAATGCAGTGTAATGACGTGATAGATATGCGATTGTATCGATGTTCGTTTCATTATTTGTGACCACTGTGCGACTTATTGGTTCAAGAGTTTAACTTTTTTTAAGAGTTCATTTGAGTCGAGAATGCAAGTACTACTCAATCCTGTTCTTTCAAGAAAATATTGAAAATATTCCATTCTTTAATATGAAAATTTTTCAAAAAAATCATCGCAAAATTTGAAGGGTTTGAAATTTTATTTAGATTGATTGAAATATTCCAGCTTCAATTCCAATGCTGATATCGTTTCTTTCTTTTTAACATCAACGAATTTCATTCTTACACGTCTATGGAGCTGGCAGCTCTCTCTAAGATTTCGATGAAACTTCCTGGGTGCAAGGACTTAGTCCACTTAAGCAATTCTTCAAAGTTTTTTTCCTCGAAAAATTAGCTACATTAGCTGTGTCCAAGTCACTTAAATTTAATATGTGTTGTTATTATACAGCTTATTTGCAGTTCTCACTTCAATGTTGTCAAGTTCACATAAACATAGTCCTGCGGCTTTATGATGCTCGTTTATATTTAATTTCCAAAATATTTTGAGCCATTTACAGTATATTTTTATGTGTCAGATGCATCCCATCTTTTTACTTTGAATATTCATCACATGTCATTGAAAGCGGAGCTTTCCACGCTGAAATTCATTTACCGAGCTCATAACAAGAACAGCGTAAATTTAACATGAACAGCTTACTCATGTTTGATAAAGAAATACAATAAATTAAAACATTACACAGCATGTGTCGATGACCATTCACAGAATCAATTATCCAAATATCAAATCGTTTCGTTCACTGATTTCACGGTAACTCCTCTTTAAGACATCATCCACAAGTCATATCTTGGCACTACTCACCAAAAACTTCATCATTTTGCTAGTTTTCGTCGTTTTCAAGTTTCTTTTGCAATCTCTGGAATCTCACTCAAACTTCACTCGGTTTTCTTCAATCAGTCCTACAGGTTCGAAATAATCTGCAAAGTCCAAAAACAAAAGAAATCACTTTGAGTTTGAATCGTTCGCACAAACACCACACTCAGATTCGGGATACCACCACCAGGATTGAGCAGTCACCTAGAACAATTGCTGCTTCGCTTTCAGAACACCGAATTGAACTGTCTCACTATGATCGAGCGAGCTTGCCTTTTATTAACTGTAAATTGAAGCCCCATGTGCAGCAGATCTATTTTCCCCGAAGAGCACAGCAGCATCGACCGAGGATCGTCTTCTTCGTTTGTTCGAGTTACTCTCAAATCTCCGGGGGAGAACGGCAACAGCAAAAAAAAATTGCCACTCAGTTTTACGCTCAACTGTTTTTGCTGCATCCAAATTCATAGAATAAAGGACTTATTTAGATCTCTTGTTGTTATGTACAGCAATTATTGTTGTTATGCTACGCCGAACGGCGTGTGAGTCGACCACCCGTCAGCTCGACAGCACGTGAAAGGTAAGCTCTTGAAGGAGAGCTTCTCTGAGCTTGGAATGGAGTTAGGGGGTGGCAATTCTCACTGAGAAGCGAGAGCTTTGCGAAGATGGAACTAGCTCACCACCAACCGACCGGTTCGTGGAAATTTTCTCTGAGAGTGATCGTCCGCCTACAGACAGAGAAGGAGAGGAAGATGCTCACGCGTGCGAATTTGATTCTTGGAAAAGCACCCGAGGAGGCTTGGTGGTAGAATATTTCATGCAAGCTGCGCTGACGTCACTGTCACTGTTATTGAGGCTTGGCGGATTTGAACTTGACTCGGAACGGAGTTTGTCACTGGGTATCGGTGCATATGTTTGATCTTGAAGGAAGGTGTGGAAAATGCATGATTGATTGATTGAAGGAGATGAAGACCGATCTTATGGCTGGGGAAAACGACAGTTGAAGTGGAATGCTGTGCCATTGTGGTATGATGTAATGGTTTGTTTGAGCTGGTATAAATGTGAATATGATTTTTTGTAGTATTGTACCGAACGAACAGGATGTGTTTTGTGAAAATTAAACAAGAAACAAGAAACAATTTACAAGAAACAAGAAAAAAAAGAAACATAAGACATAGTTTAATGTATTGGAAAAATATATGGCTTTCTAGAACGCTTCATTTTTGTTGCAATGCATGTAAGTTTAATACTGATTGTGTTCTGTGTGTTTATAAATAGATCCTGTATTTTTTTTTTAAATATTTGTTGGAATTGAGACTGATCAAATAGAATCTTAACCTTCTATTTTTCAATCCCGTTTTTTGACGGGGTGCATTTAAAGAGCATGGTCAAAAATAATCGAATGTTCCAACAAATGTTATATGAATGGTTAGAAAGATAAACTTTTAATTTACCACTTACATGATTGACTTTTTTCATTTGACTTGTTTTTAAGTCGATCTTGTTGTCCATACTGAGTACCAACGCCAGGCAGGCAGCTCCCACACCTGGACCTTAACGATCGACCCATCAACTCATGGGCTGAGGACCAATGGCTTTACTTCCCTTCCAAAGGAAAGCGTGATTAGAGATTTTATGAACCACAAAATCCCGACGGTGCCGACTGGGATTGAACCCAGGCCCTTTGGAGGGATAGGCAGTCACGCTTACCACTACTTCACCGACGTTGCTAAATGGTAAACAAACCATTCTATATAGTATCGTATATATAATGTTGTGTAGTGAAATGATAAGGAAGTTATTTAAGCAACCCACACAAAATATACATAATCAAAAAAAAAAGATATCAACGAAAAATTTCACGGTGGAGGAAAACCGCATGGCAAATCAAGACAAGCGATGTCAGGGTAATGCATTTTTTTCTAATAATTACTTTTTTCAATTTTTCATTTTGATGGAACTTTTATGATTTTTTAAGAATTCTCAATCTTTTAAAATCTTTAATTCATGAACCAAGAAAGTATCGATGATCCAAGTAAAAGATAAGAAATTTTCACACGAGACAAAAGATATTGAGAAAAAAAAATCATCATTTGGAAAAAGGTTTTCCCTCATTTTATTTGCAATTTTCCTAAGCCGTGGAAACTGTCATGGAATACATTTTTTTTTTAGTTTATATTTGTTATGCATTGCTGCGATGATTTATTATCATTTCACAAAACAAAATTCTAGAATACTTGGTTTATGAATTATGGATTTTCAAAGTATGAGAATTTCAGAAAAAAAAAATAGAGAAGTTTAACCAACATTTTTGGGTTTGTTCGTGTTTTAGTTATAATTTTAAACCAGTAATAGATACCACTCTGAACTTTTCACCTGTGAATGAAAAAAAGTATTGAAGAATGACAAACATCATTTAAAAAAATTTAAAATATCTCACAATGGACAGTGGTCCAGAATGCAGATTTAGGTGGAAGGATATGTTTTTTGTCTGAAATTGAAACTTTAGACTAAAAATTTTTTCAACAAAGTTGTTCCTTATAGTTAGGCCCTCATTTTTATGACAATGAGTTCTGGGGTGGTTCTTTTTATCATTAAAATAAAAATCTAACTTTTTTGTTTGAGGAAAGAAAGGTATACATGTTTCGGTAAAGTTATAGCTGAGCTAATTTCAAGCAACTTTCTACAAAAAGAACTTTTTTGTATCTTTTAAATTGACCGATTAAGAGCTATTTTCTTCAATTGAACAGTTGTTTTCTTATTTCAAATGTATCAGCAAAGGTGGAATAACCTTTAGATCTTTAGAAGGCGCAAATTTTTGCTGCACAAAGCTTGTTGATAGCTTTCGCCGATCAAGAGTTATTGATGTTCTACTAAAAATATGCCCTTTTCCAATGTTAATATCTCTCATTGGGGAAAACAAACAAATAGTTTTTTTTGCGGTGTTTGAAAAGGTGCATGTTATTCTCAAGAAATTGAAAAAATAGAGATATGCTATTTTTTAAACTCGTTTAAAATCAATCTGAATTTATTCATATTTTTACTATAATTGGGTATTTTTATTAAGAGAGATACAGGCATCAATTTTTGCTACAAAACATTCGTCTTAAAGAGTTGCAAAAGTCTCTAGAAGATGATTTTCATGAGAAATAAAAAAGTTATCGGGAAAAAATGGTATTCATAGTCACTCTAATGACAAATTTAAAAAAAATGTATGATGAGTCTAAGATTTCAATTTCAGGCTCCAATCATATCCTTCCACCTAAATCTGCATTCTGAACCACTGTGCAATGGTTTTTCCTGATTTTCCTGGCGAATTTCCGGCACCGAGAAAAGGTTTGTGCAAACATTTTTTTTAGTTTATATTGTGAATGGATAATTTAGATAAATTTCTTATCATTTCACTAGATAGCGTTCTTTCTACGATACTTGTTTCATGAGTAATGTCTGGAAAAATCCATTAGCTTCAACTAAAACTGCGACGACGCAAATTTTTGAGGAAAATCGAGGAAAATTTTCCTCACTCACTTTCTACCATTTTGAGATGAATTTGATTAAATGGTGAGTTAGTTTAATCGGTAGGGAATGACGATCTAACGATGTGACAACCGCCACAGTAGTAAATGGTAGTAGTAAAATTACGTTTTTTGTTGATTATGATTGTAGATTGATTTCACATTTCAATTGAATAGCCTACCTGGCTCTTCATCTTTGTTTCATTGCTTATTCTAATTTGATATTTGCTGATTAACAACTAGTTTACAGAATACCCCTTGGGGTGTGTTTTGTTTTAATTGAAAAAATGTGATAACCTACCTAACTATGAATATATCTAACCAGCGCTGGGGAACGGGAAGTGGCCATCACTCTAAGGAGGAACATATACTGTTTGCTGCTGCCGAGCTTCCAGCTGAAGATGATCGACGCCGTAGGAGTGGAAGTTTCTACTCCTGTTGGCCCCATCTCCATCGTTGCGGCTTACTGCTGCTGACGGGTTGGTAGTAGACCTGCGAGGAGATATTGTTAAGCTAACACGATGGCGGGAAAACTTCACCATCGATGGTAACCTGAACGACAAACGTCAAGTTTGGGGCAACAGTCGACGCAACCAAAATGGCTCCACCGTACAATGACCTGCAGGAAGTGCAGTACAACATCTTGAGTCCGGACACTCCCACCCGGTTGAGTAGGTCAGGTGCCTACGCCACCATCGACATCTACATCAGCAACTCGGCCAACAAGTGTTCATAGATGAAGCGATTTCCCGGGCCAGGGAGCAACATGTGTCAGTATTCAGACGGGTAAGTAATACTCTGAATCAAACTATTAAATTTATTGGTCACTGGTGCCATACAGTTTCTGTTACTTTTTTCATGGATCTCGAACTGCAAAAAAACCTATTAAACATCATTAAAAAAATAGTTTGTTTGATAATTTTTATTCAACAGATGCATTCACTTGGGAATCCATCACTTCGCAAGTTGAAAGTATTTTGAGATTGACTGTTAATTTCAATTCTTGCAATACTTGTGGATGATAAATGTAGATCGTTCTCAATCTCTCACTTTATCACTACACACTACAAATATATTTTTGACAGATCCTTGGTCAGTAAATCAAGCGTCTTAAAGATCAGTAGTGCAGCAATCCCATATACCTTATGGGGTTTACACTGTTTTACAAGGTTTTCCAGTCATGGGAGAGGACTGTAAAAGCACAGTGAAAAAGTTCACTACCACATCGAGTAAATGAAAAAAGTTAGAGGCAAATGAATGTAAATGAATGTATGAAATGAACGCAAGTGATTTTCCATGCCTGTCTGTAGACTTGCAAAATTGTACCGGAAAGTGCAGTTCGTTGCGATAATCGTCTATTTGGAGCATATTTCGTGTTGTGAATACAGTGAAAAAGTTATCTAATCGGACATCTTGTAGTGTTTACTGTTGTGTTATTGTCGATATCTGATGCTCTGCCGAATTAGAGCATCTCCACAGCTGTTTCTTAATTAGTTTTGGAACCTGAGTCAGCATGACTTCCGCCTGTGACCAATGCGCTAAACCAGTTAAAGGCGATGAAGAATCCGTCTCCTGCATGGCTTTTTGCGACATAATGATTCACCTCAAATGCGGTGGCACAAAGTTAAACAAGGTTTTTCTGAATATTTTCCACACTAGCCCGAACTTGTTTTGGATGTGCAACGAGTGCGCGAAGCTGATGAAAT